GAGCGTGGCCGTCAGCACCCCTGCAGGGCTCATCACCCCCATCGTGTTCAACGCCCACATCAAGGGCCTGGCTGCCATCAGCAAGGACGTGGCTTCCTTGGCAGCCAAAGCCAGGGAAGGGAAGCTTCAGCCTCACGAATTCCAGGTGAGAAACCGGGGTCGGTGTCAAACACGGCGGCCCTTGAGTTGTTTGAAATGAGCAAAGGCTGTCAGAGAGTCACAGAATATCCTGAGCTGGAAGGGACCCACAGGGATCATCAGTGCAACCCCTGGCCCTGCACAGACATCCCAACAATCCCACCCTGTCCCTGAGAGCATTGTCCAAACACTCCTTGAGCTCTGGCAGCCTCAGGGCCGTGATCACTGTCCTGGGGAGCCTGGTCAGTGCCCAACCACCCTCTGGTCTCCCCTCAGTCTCATGTTTCCATGAAAACAGCATTTGTAGTTTGACCATGGATGTGTTTTTTTCTTGTAGGGTGGTACTTTCACAATTTCCAATTTAGGAATGTATGGGATTAAGAACTTCTCTGCCATAATCAATCCACCTCAAGCCTGCATCCTCGCAGTGGGCTCCTCAGAGCAAAGGCTGGTGCCAGCTGATAATGAGAAAGGGTAAGTTCTCATCTCAGTCTGAATCCAGACTGACATAATGGCTGGTTTTCTAACATTCCCATTAGATAATCATTTAAAAACCCCTAAAATTTATTGTTGACACGGTGCTTTCAGTACCTTCTGAAGTACAGTGAGATCTTGTATGAAAGGGTCACACAGGTGTTAGAGAGAGTTGCAGTGACCGAGGAGGGATTTGGCACACATTTATTCTTGAAACCTCTTTGCAAGTTGAGGAAAGCCTGTTTCTTTCTTTGTGGGGCAGGATTAAGCTGAGGAAATGTCTGAAGTCCACAACAGTTCAGGCACCTGTTCCTCTTCAACAACCTGCTTAAATTTGCATTTAGAAAACCTAAGGGATGGGTTATAATCCAAGTGACCTGTATATAATATCCCCTTGCTTGGAACTTGCACTAGCACAGCCCCAGGAGAATGCTTAGGTTTACTGAAAATTTTAACAGTCCTGGGTGTCTCTCCCTGACCATGAGGACACTGGGTAAAGTGTCTCTTTGACTGTGTGGGGCTGTTCCTGTGATGCAGAGAAAGATGAGCTGCCTGTCCTAAGGGGAGCACACAAAGGGGGATCTCAGTGTCTCAGTTAAGTCAGTTCCTTAGTTTTCCTTAAAAGAACGAACATGATCTGTTCTCCAGGAATCCACAAGGAGAAACATCTGTCACCAAGCACCACCTTCTATTCCTGGCCCTCCAAGAAAAGCTTTCCTGCTCTGTGAGTGGCACTGACTTGCAGGGAGCGTGTTAACCTTCTCTTTCTTCTTCTCTTATTGTTTTTCCCTTCCAGCTTTGACGTGGCCAGCGTGATGTCTGTTACCCTGAGCTGTGACCATCGTGTTGTGGATGGAGCAGTGGGAGCACAGTGGCTTGCAGAGTTCAAGGGTTTCCTTGAGAAGCCAGTAACCATGCTGCTATAATTTACCCAAGCAAGCAGAATTTTCCTGGGTCACACTGTTGTGTTTTAAACAAGCTATTTAGACTGTAGTGTTCCGACTTTAAGAGAGTTCCTTTTTTAATTTAAAATATGTATTATATTATCTGGTAATGTTATTACCAGTCTGTACAGAAAAAAAGTTTGCAAAAGTGCTTTTCGGAGCAATATTACAGCTACACTGTATTTTTATACAGTTAGTTAACTTGCAAACTCTTCCAAAAACAGAGTTAAGCATCCCAGATTTAAAGATGACCCTGGCAGAATGCCCACTGCCAGCTGCTCCTCAAAAAAGGGGTGCAAACCAGCAATGTCATGTTCTCAGAAATATGAATTACAGTCATCTCTTCACAGGAGTGCAGATGAGATTGGTCACTGAAACAAGTCAGCAGAAGGTGAATTCCCATATTATCCCATCCCTGGGGTGGGTGAGATGGCAAACGCACTGAGGGACTGAAGTGCCTGGGGTTAGTTTCTCAAAGGCCAAGTGCCAGCGTTCCAAATCTCTCTTGGAATTTGGCTCTGGTCTGGATCCTCTCAGCTACGTGATCCCTTTTGAGCACTTTAAGGTGAAGGAGCAGTGCTGGCTGTGGGGTCACAGCTCTCGGGTCCCGCAGGGGACGTGCTGTCTGCTCCTGGACTTTCACTCACATGTGCTTTCTGTCTGAAAGCTCTGCAGTTGCTGTTCCTCCTGCTAAGTTACCACCACACCCTGATGCCATGGAAGTAACTGTTTTGCAGAATGTTCAGGAGAGTCCGTGTGTTGGAAGCCAATGTAGACAAATCACACATGCTGATAATCCCACCAGTGGATATTAAATCATGTGAGGACTTGAATGTTTGGAATTTTTTATTTCAGGCATTCTAACATAGGAGGCTCTGACTTAGTCACTGGAATTGGAGACCTTCCCTGACTTGTCTATGTTGTGCCAGCCTCAGCAAGCTGCAGAATGTGCTCTCCATGTATATATTGTATGTAAGGTGCTTCACTAGTTCGTTGGACTGATGTCCAGTTACCCCAGTGATTGCATCCTGCAAGGGGTGCAGTGCTGAACATTCTTAAATTCCACTTTCCACATGGAAATGTTTGTGTAAAAAGGACAACTGTGCAGTAATGACAAAGTGACCAGGAGAATTAAGTAGGGGGGAAGAGTTTTAACAGAAAGAGTTCAAGCTGATCCGTTATTCTGTATATTGCATTAAGTACTGTCTCCTGTAAAGTTCTACAGAATTCACTAAAGATATTGAAAGAAAATACTATGGAAATTAAATATTTTTGTGGGAACTACTTAAGTGTCTGGTTGCTGTGATACCTGGTTTTCATGCCTTGCTTAAGCAAAAAAAAAAAAAAAAGTGCATTAAGGTTTTGGATTTGAATGATCTAAAATACCCTGATTCCAGACTCGCTCTAGTGAACCCATGTTCCATTAAATGTTTGGAATTGACAACTACTAAACCCTGTTCCAGTGCTTTTCTCTTCAGTCGTGTGTGGCTTTACTGTACTGCTCTGCAGCCTTTCAGTCTGGCAGTGAAACTCACCCTATTAACCCCAGATTTCATCCCCGACGTTCCAAAATTCCTGCTTTCTTGCTGTCTGCAGCAGTGACCTGGAACCTCCCTCTCTGCAGTGCTCACCTGGGCAACGTGCAGGGCTGGGTGTGTCACACCTGGGCGGGTTGTCCCAGCATCGAATACTCGTGAGAGCTGCTCTAACCATGTGAATCCAGTCCATTTATTTAAAAAACACACATCACAACTGTTATTGCTGCTCCTTGAGGCAACGTGAACGATGTAGTAAAGCATCTACAGCTTTCAACTGTAGATACACAAGTACTGTAACTGTAAATATTCAAGTACTCCTTGAGTATTTACAATCTTTAATTATTTTTTCTGAGGTTTGGTGATGCGAGTATACCTCCATCCTTCCTTTTCTACTTGCATCTTTTAAGGGTATTTGAGATATTCACCCCTAAAGATCAAATAGTCAATAAACCCACCCACCCCAAAACTCATCTAAAAGTAAGGATTCTCACTCTGGGCTTTTGTTCTCTAATCTGTGACCAGGACCTGGGCAGGCTGCAGGGGTTAAGGATTTGGCTTGGCAACTGGTGCAGAGATAAACAACACCCTTTTTGCTTTGTTAAATGCTGCTGTAGTTGTTTCTTCATCCGCCAGTTCTGGCAAATCTCGCTGTAATCTGCTGTATTTTTCAGGAACCTCAATGATGATGTAGTCCTAAACCAAGAAAATTTCAGCCTCAATGACTGGGATTTTTTTTGAGGTTTGGGGGGTACTTTTTTCCCCAAAAAGACAGACCTGAGGACCCAGGAAGGACGATCTTCAGACACTGTCTTAACAGTATGATGCTGTTGAGAGTTGGATTTCTTTAAATCGTGATCTTGGGAGGTCTCTTCCAATGACTGGGGTCTGTCCTCAGTGACCGTGAATTTTTTGAGGTTTGGGTGAGTTTTTTTCCCCAAAAGAAGGACCTGAGGATCCAGGATGGGGGGTCCTCGGCCACTGGCTTAAGAGTATGATGCTATTGAGAGTTTTGATTTCTTTGGATCAGGATCTTGGCAGGGGGGAGGGACAGTGGGGGTGAGCAGGGTGTCTTTTCCAACCTCAACGGCTGATTTTTTTGAGGTTTGGTTTGTTTTTTGGTTTGTTTTTTTTTCCCCAAAAAGAAGGACCCCAGGACCCAGGATGGGGGGGACCTCGGACACTGGCTTAAGAGTATGATGCTGTTGAGAGTTTTGATTTCTTTGAATCATGATCTGGGGGGGGTGTGTCTTTTCCAACCTCAATGACTGTGAATTGTTGTGGTTTGTTTTTTTTTATTTTCCACAAAAAGAAGGACTCCAGGACCCAGGAGGGAGGGACCTCAGACACTGGCTTAAGAGTGTGATGCTCTTGAGAGTTGGATTTCTTTAAATCGTGATCTTGGGAAGTTTCTTCCAATGACTGAGGTCTTTCCTCAGTGACTGTGATTTTTTTGAGGCTGGAGATCTTTTTTTCCCAAAAAGAAGAACGTGACAACCCAGGACGGGGGTGACCTCAGACACTGGCTTAAGAGTATGATGCTGTTGAGAGTTTTGATTTCTTTGAATCATGATCTTGGGGGGGGTGTGTCTTTTCCAACCTCAATGACTGTGAATTGTTGTGGTTCGGGTTTGTTTTTTTTTATTTTCCACAAAAAGAAGGACCCCAGGACCCAGGAGGGAGGGACCTCAGACACTGGCTTAAGAGTGTGATGCTGTTGAGAGTTGGATTTCTTTGAATCACGATCTCGGGGGTGGGTGTGTGTTTTGAGTTTGGGGGTTTTTCCCCCCGCTAAGAAAAGAAGGGCTCTGCTGCCCCCGGGCTGAGGGCCGTGCCCGGCGCGCTGGGCCCAGCCCGCCATGGCCGCGCCCGTCGCCCCGGGAGACGCCGCCGGAAGGGGCCGCCCCGCCGGTTTCCGCCCCGGCCCCGCCATCGCGGCCGCCCCGGCGCGGCCCGAGCATGTCCCGGGTGCCCGTGGGGAAGGTGCTGCTGCGGAACGTCATCCGGCACACCGGAGCGCACAACAAGGTGCGGCCAGGGCAGGGCACGGCGGCGGCGGCGCCCGGCGGGGCGGGCATACAGTG